TGGCCACTATGGTCGAGACCATACTGTATTAATGTGCAATATTTTTGTTACTTTTTCAGACTGTACTTGCTCCATGGGTTTGACGGGGAAATTTAATGAAGACAGCTTTTATCCTGCATTTAATCTGAGCTTCGTTATATTGGTATATAGGAGAGAAGCCATATGTTGACCCGAATAACCAGCTATCATCATACCCAATTTCATCAAAATCTGTCCAGTGGTTTTCTCGTGATGCGGTCACAGACAGACAGAAAGACAGACATACAAAAATTCTAAAAACTATAGATTCGACCTTTGTACCGATAATGGTGACTATTTCAATAAGATTTTCCAAAAAAATATATTAAATGTATAGATTCGACCCAGTTACAATTATATGTATAGACTAGCGAGTCACCCTCTCTTCGCTCCGGTTCGTCCTTAAGTACATTTTTTTGAGGGGAACCCTAATTCTTTTACTAAAATAAAAGTAGCCGAAGTTTACTCCTTATAACATCAACTACCTGACAGTGAAAGTCCCGTCAAAATTGGCTCAGCCGTTTCGGATACTAGCCGGAACGAACAGACAGACAAAAAAATAAAAAAATGTGTTTTTCTTATAAATCTTTATATATATAATTCCATATGCACTAAGTAAAAAGCTGTTATTTTGATATTACAAACAAACTTTTTTTATAATTTTTTTGATGAAAATTATTATTCAAATTGTGAATCTAAACCATTCCCAGATCCCCTTGAACACACACAAAAAATTCATCAAAATCGGTCCAGTCGTTTGAGAGAAGTTCAGTGACATACACACTCACAGAAGAATCTTTATATATATAATTCTTTGGACCGATTTTGATGAATTTTTTTGTGTGTGTTCAAGGGGATCTGGGAATGGTTTAGATTCACAATTTGAATAATAATTTTCATCAAAAAAATTATAAAAAAAAAGTTTGAAATTTTCAAATTAAAGACGTGTAGACAGGACAACGTCTGTCGGGTCCGCTAGTACCGTATATAATTCCATATGCACTAAGTAAAAAGCTGTTATTTTGATATTACAAACAGACACTTCAGTTTTATTTATCTGTAGTATATAGATTTATGTACATTTAAATTACTAATTGTAGACTATTAATACAGATACCTAAAATTGAAGTGTCTGTTTGTTATGTCATGTAACAGCATTCTACTAAATGCATATGAAAGTATATACTTATATATCTGTCTGTCTGTCTGTTTGTTCCGGGTAATCTCAGAAACAGCAAGACTGATTTCGAAGGGATTTTCACTAACAGATAGCTAATGTTATAAGGAGTAACATAGGCTACTTTTATTTTAGAAAAAAAGTTAGGGTTCCGCTTAAGACAATAAAACGTACCTAGGTACGAACTCAATCGCAGGGAGGGTGAATTGCTAGTAGTAAATAATAATTAATATATTCTATATATAAAAAATCAATTGTCAGTCTATCACCTGAGAATGGGTTGACCGATTTGGTTTATTTATTTTTCGTTGTGGTCATATTTGTCAGGACAAGTTTTGTATAAAAGATTTTTTCCAAATTCCACCGGAAATTTCGGAAATTGGAATGGCATTTTTGTATGAAAATCAATTCATTTCAATTTTCTTGTTAATGGCTTCAAATATATGGAAATCGCAATAGGTTACTGTAGAATGTGACGTTCAGTTTGACAGTTATGCTACCACATGTTTTCAATTTTCATAGCACCAAAAGAAAACACGTGCTGCGCCAATTGACGCAACTCTAAGCCAAAAAAGAAATAAAAAATACAAAAAACATTCAACATAATTAACGTACAAGTATTACGTGCGTCAAAACCAAACAACAAACAAAATAACAAACTTTTCGTCTGTATATATTAAAATATAACTTGTTGGCCAAAACACATTTGAAATGAAAATGCTTGTAAATGTACGGTTTCCGTGGCATCCGTTTGTTTTTGTTTTCCTAGAGGCGAACCCAAGCGAAGCGAGCACTGAACTGAACGACAATCTGCCAATACTTTTTTGTACAGAGATTTTTTTAACCCAAATTTTTCACTTTTCCATACAATAAAAAAAAAGAAAAATATCCTAAAAACTTGGTCTTTACAGACAAACACAACAAGAAAATAATTAGCCAACCAGGTGCAGCCGTTCTAAACTGATTCGCTTACATACATTTGGAAAACATAGTTCTCGCTCTGAGTAAATGAAAACTATAACCTTTGACCGTCTAGGTATTATTATATTCTATTATATTCAGTCCATTATACTTCATGCAAATAGTTGAATATCTTAATGTTGTGAATTTTATTAATGAATGTATACAAAGTTTAAGGGCAAGTACATTTATAATGAACTATTTGTATGGAATCCATACTAAAGTGAGAGTATTAAATAAATAAATAAATAAATAAAGTGAGAGTGTGTTTGTTTGTTTATTTTTTTTGTTTGTCCTTCTTTCATATCGAAAGGGAGTGAGGGATTGTCGTGATTTTTTGTGTGGAGATAGTTGGAGAGCTGGAGAGTGACATAGGCTACTTTTTACCACGGAAGATTATCTAATTTCCACGGGAAAACACGTTACAATACAATCCAAAAATATATTTATGATTGGAATTACTTGAAACTTGGTATTAATGCAAATAATTTTTTGCTTTGTATGGGCTGGCACCGATTTCGAAAATATTTGATTAGGTATGTATTTAATAGGTAGGCTTTAATTACTTAGCCAAAGCACACCGATTTCGAAAATATTTGATTAGGTATGTATAGTAAATGAAAACTACCAATCAGTTATTTTTTACTTTTTAGTGCTTTTGTTTGAAGTCGGTTTTTATTTTTTTGTTAAAAAGTTTTTTTCGAAAATCATCCTATAGTGGGGTAAAATAGGGGATGAAAGTTTGCAAAAACTACCATTTTAGATATTTTTTTGTAGTTTTACCGCGAGCAAAGCCGTGGGTTCTGTTAGTTGATACATTAATAATTATATTATGTACATACAAACATAGTTATGATGACTTGTAGTGAGTTGTATTACTACGTGTTTTCCCGTGGGAATGAGATAATCTCCGGTGGTAAAAAGTACCTTATGTCATTCTCCAGCCCTCAAACTATCTCCACACAAAATTACTCTAATCCGTCACTCTGGTTTGACGTGAGAAAAGGACAAACAAACAAAGCCAAAGTCAAACTGTTAACCTTAGAAAGAGAAAGAGTAAATCTACAAATGCTTTCAAGTAGTTTATATTAATTTTAAGGTTGCGTTCTTAGTAATAAAGTAGTCGTAAGGAAATAAGGCAGTGGTAGCCCAGTGGTAACACGCTCGCTTGGGACACCGAGTGAAGCGGGTTCAAATCCCGGGTCTCTCACCTCTGATATTTTCATGTGCGAATCATTTCTAACATGATTACCGCTTGCCTTACGGTGAAGGAAAACATCGTGAGGAAACCTGCATGTCTGAGAGAACCTAGCAAGTTTTCGAAAGACATGTGAAGTCCGCCAACCCGCACTTGGCCAGCGTGGTCCCCCTCGTATTGAAGGGAGGCCCGTGCCCAGCAGTGGGACATTAAAAAGGGCTGAATACAAAGGAAATTTGATTTAGACGTTTTTCCGTGATTTTTTTACAATTTTTATTTTAATAAGAACCTTTTTCGGACTTCAACGAATATTTGAAAAAAATGCTTAGCCAAATTGGTCCAGAGATTCTCCAGTTTTACGCTTAGAATACTTTTAGCCATTCATTTTTATTAATTACTACCGACTCACCCTCGCTCCGCTCAGGTTTGTCTCTGGTTACATTTTAACGTTTAGTATAGATTTCTCAGAGATAAGATACTTTCCTATACGTTGACTCGGAAAACCAGCTATCATCATATCAAATTTCATTAAAATCTTTTCAGTGGTTTTCTTGTGATGCGGTCCGAGACAGAGAGACAGACAGACAAGATTTCTAAAAATTACTATTTGAATAAGATTATCCAAAAAATATTTAATGTACAGATTCGACTCAGAATTTTATTATATGTACAGATAAGATATACATATTTTTAAAGTACGCTACACACTTCTATTTGGAATTAATTAAATTGGCATGAACAATTTACATACAAAGACTTTTTATGGTTTTTTGTGTATATAGGGTTGATACGTTTTAAGTCTGTGAATTATGTTTATCGGTAAATATATAAAAATTGCGTTCTTTTAGAACATGAATAGATAAACTTAAAAAGCAAACCTTATCTAAATACAAATTTTGATCCAAATCGTTAAATTCGTTTTCGAGATACACGAAATAAATTTATATATTTATAAAAAATAAATTTATATATATATACAAGAATTGCACATATTTCATCACATCATAGGATTGAACGCAATAATAATATCAAAGACTACTATTACATGTATTGGAAAGAGTAGTGATACTGTTCGCAATAAATGTAGAGTTTATATTCCTTGCAGAGAGAACAGAATTCTAGATGTTCTACATCTCTACATACGTATACCTTCTTCTATTATATTTTGTTGTACTCTAACATTAAAAAACGTAATAAATTACGAATTTCTAAAAAGCAATTAGTATATCCCATTAATATTATAAATGCGAAAGTTTGGATTGATGTATGTTTGTTACTCAATCACGTCACAATCACAACGACTGAACGGATTTGGATGACATTTGGCACAGAGATAGATTATAGTCTAAAGAAGCATATATGTTACTTTTTATTCCGGGAAAATATACGGTTCCCGTGAGATAGGTTTGTATTTGTTTTTCACTAGGGATGAACCCGATCGAAGTGAGAGTGAGTCGCTAGTTTATAATAAAATCATTTTGTCAACCCTACACTCAAACATTCGAGCTATTTTATTATTTAGAACAAATAATTTTATTTAGCTTACAGAATACTTAGTCTGACTCCAATATTAAGACGTGAACGTTATTTTTATCTCTGTAAATAAATTAAATATTGTATTTATAGTATTATTATATAAGTCTTAGAATGGCTACGAGAGTGGAAGTAGTCCATCCAGAAAGTATTCATCAATCATGTGAGTGGTTTTTCTTATTTTGTAGTAATAAAAAAAACTATTATTTCGTAAAAATAAAGAGTAAGACTGAGTTACTTTAAACGTATAAGGTCCCATAGTCGAAACCGCAAATACGATAAATTTTCTAATACTTGTAACATCCATATTAATATGATAAATGTGAAAGTGTGTTTGTTTATTTGTCTTTTTTTCACGTCAAAACGAAGTGGCGGATTGGCGTGATTATTTGTGTGGAGATAGTTGGATGGCTGGAAAGTGACATACGCTTCTTTTTACCGCGAGAGATTATCTAATACCTACGGGAAAACACATTTTAATACAATACAAAAAATATTTATAATCCGAATTACTTGAAACTTGGTATTAACGCTCTTCAATAAAATTAAATAAATATGTGTTTTAGCATTTTTCGAAATTCATCCTATAAGGGGGTAAAATAGGGGATGATAATTTGTATGAAACTACCTTTTTAGAGATTTTTTGTAGTTTTAGAGTTTTTTGTAGTTTGAGCGAAGCCGTTTACACTACTAAAAAAACTCTTTAGCTTTATGTTATAACTAACAATAATTTGATGATTATGACTATGATTTTAACTCGCTCTTCGAGGGTTCCGTACCGCCGAATATTGTGTTGTTTTAACAAATATCTTTATTCTTTACACACTTAAATATTTTTTATATTTTTACATTACTCTATTATTAGAAAAATAAGCTTGTGTTTCTGAAATATAATATTAAAAACAAATTTCATTTTAGTGATCGTAACTCAAAATTTATAGATAAGGCAGTAGTAGCCCAGTGGTAACGCGCTTGCTTGGGTAACCGAGTGAAGCGAGTTCAAATCCCGGGTCTCGCATCTCTGATATTTTCATGTGCGAATCATTTCCAACATGATTACCACTTGTCTTAACGGTGAAGCAAAACATCGTGAGAAAACCTGCATGTCTGAGAGAACCTAGCAAGTTTTCAAATAACATGTGAAGGCCGCTAACCTGCACTTGGCCAGCATGGTGGATTATAGCCTGATCCCCCTCGTATTGAAGACAGGCCCGTGCCAAGCAGTGGGACGTAAAAAGGGCTGAATAAATACATACATACATACATACAACTCAAAATATCCAGTATATTAAAAGATATTTAACGTAGTTGGCAAACTCTATTTTTGGCACATTTTCAACCGACTTCCTCAAAAAGGAGGAGGTTCTCAATTCGGCTGTATGTTTTTTTTTATGTTTGTTACCTCAGAACGCCGTCATTTATTTAACGATTTGGGCAATTTTTGTTTTGTTTGAAATTGTATACTTCCAGATTGGTCCCATTTAAATTAAAAAAAAAATACCACCCCTAAGGGTGGAAAAATAGCTAATAATGAATTTAACCTACTTCTAATTGTCATATTGACTTGAAACTTTGCAAGTGTTTCTATTTCCGTTGATAGTGCAGCGGTTTGGTATCGTTGACCTGATTTGATGGTAAGGCCAGAAGATGGATAGGTGGAACTCTTCAACGGCTAATAGTAGATACTTTGAGTTTGGGCTTATTTTGTTTGATTTGTCAAGCCTAACACGTTAGAATTCTTACTTTGCTACTACTGTTTACACTAAAAAGGGAAAAATAAAAACTTTTAACAAAAAAATAAAAACGGACTTCAAAAAAGCACTTAAAAGTACAAAATAACTGATTGGTACTTTTCATTCACTATACATGCCTAATCAATTATTTTCGAAGTCGGTGCTCTCAGGAGACGAATTTCGGATAATCAGATTGATAACACGTATTGCTTATTTATTATCTTGAATACTTAATTTTAACAATAAAAATGGCGATTTTTTTACCAACTTTACCACCCGTTTTACCCCCTTAAGGGATGAACTACAATAACGGTAAAACACGTGTTTATTTAATTGAATTAACGATCATTAATACCAAGTTTCAAGTATTTCTGATCATAAAATAATTTTTTACCATATTAAAGAAAGGAATGAGTGCGTTCCTTGAAAAGAGTGCGTGCTTCTATTGATAACTAGCCTAAACGTTTAAAGGACTGTATTGCAGCCAGTGGAGACCACTTCGAATAAGCTTTATATATTTTTAATGGTTTTATATTAAGTATTAAACTAACACACTGTAATAGTAATAAATGTTACGTGCAATAGAAATAATGTTTTTTTTTTCATTTGTAACAATATTTAGTGCAAGTCTATGTATTTAATTGTATTGAGGGGACACGGAAGCAATTATGAAATAATTACGTTCTTTTGATCCCTTGCTTTATTGTTATTACTAATACTTTAATTATGCATAATTAAAATTTTAGTATGCATAATTAAAGTATTCGTAATAACTATACAGCAAGGATAATTAATATGTAGGATATTTAAGGATTTATTCTATCAATAATACCTCAATAACTAAACTAAAAGTGGGTTCGATTTACGACCCGGTACCTCCGGAAGTGCAACCGCACCGTTTCCTACACCACCGAGGCAATTTTCAATTCTACATTATAATTCCATGTACAATTTTTATTGTAAAAACAAAATTTTGATACCCCCTGAGTTCTGATTTACACATACACTTTAGAAACACGATTACTTGTAGTTTCCTCGATAGAATAAAAATCCAAAATGAAATTTAAAAAATAAAATAAACCTTTAGTGCGGCGTAAATAATTCAAGGGCGTTCATCAGGTTTTTAAAAATAACAAAACTATACGTTTTCTATAACGTTTTCGCTTTACATTTTCAAAATGTGTATTTGTTTTAATAATACGAAGGAAATACCTAAATTCGCACGCGTTTCTCGCCCATCGTACCAACCAGACCCCCCCACCCCCACCCCCCGTACTCATCTACCTATTTGAGTTTGTTTATAGTTTTGTGATTGCAAATATTATATATTTTATTTAAAAAATATTATTAGTAGATTAAATTAAAAAATCTCAAATTTATTAATTGAAAATTATTACTTTAGTTTTTATTTTTAATTTAATTAATTATTTTTTATTTTTAAAACATACGAAGTCTCGATACTTTTTTGTTTGACATTAGCGAAGTTACGGGAGGAATAAAATGTTTATTTTTGCATCCAATTATAAATGTGACTTCTACAATTACAATCTTATACAATTTTTGTATCAACTTATAAGGTCTGGCAGCCCTGGACGGTTATCTACCGAGTCACGGTAATATTTATAACATTAGGTACCGTGACCGAGTGTATACCGAACTCGAGGCGCGTATATACGAGTAGGCGATTTCCAACCGTTTGTATGAAGATGGAATTTTGTAGTGGTTCAGTGCCCTTACCAAGTTTCAAGTAATTCTGACCATAAATATTTTTTTGGGTTATATTATAACATGTTTTCCCCTGAGAATGAGATAATCTCCCGCGATAAAAAGCCAGTCCGTCACTCCGTTTTGACGTGAATGAAGGACAAACATACAAACACACGTTCACCTTTATAATATTAGTATGTAAGTATGTACATATATACATCATACATTGATATATAGTAAATTTTGTTTCAGTTCCCGTTGAAACATGGACTTTTAATGAAACAACCGTTGGTGTATTGTTAGTTATATTATCCTACCTTGCTGTTGTGTTATGGATATTACCACGTTTTATGAAATACAGAGAGCCGTACCAACTGACTAAAACTTTATTATTCTACAATGCATTCCAAGTCGCCTTCTCTGCGTATGCAGTTTTTCTTGTAAGTATGCACAATTGCTATTTATTTTTTTCAGTGATTATTTTTAATAATTAAAGTAACCAAATCTATAAATTATGTACTTACAATATTCACTTATGCATAGTCTATCTATACATATATAATAAAATTGTAACCAAGCCGAATCTGTACATTAATTTTTTTTTGGAAAATCTTATTGAAATAAACATTTTTATCGATACAAAGGCCCAATCTATAGTTTTTAGAATTTTTCTGTCTGTCTGTCTGCCTATCTGTTACCGCATTACAGAAAGCCCACTGGAGGGATTTTGATGAAATTTGGTATCGTGATAGCTGGTTATCCGGGTCAACATATAGGATACTTTTTACCGCGGAAATTGTCTCATTTCTGAGAAAAAATACAAAAACTACAATGTTTGTACTTTTTGGTCATTTGAACGCAGGCGGAGCCGCGGGCAATGCTAGTTTTATAATAAAATTAAAACAAGAAAATTTTAATTGTATGGGATTAAAATATCATGTGACCAAAATACTATGAGTTCTGTATGTTTCAAATAAGTAGGTACACGAATGAAGACATATAAGTTTTATAATATATATCAAGGATTCTTAAAGGGTTAGCCCATCGATCAAAAAAATACCAAATCCCATGCAAAAGTTTTCTTAAAACTGTCACCAATTGTGGTTAGGTAATTATTCCAGTTGAAATAAATATATTACAATGTAAATTGAACCTTATATGCAATTTTTAAAGTTATCTACACAAAAAAATAGTTAAAACGCGCTCAAATGTTATGTTAAATAAGCGCCTCATTCTGTGAGGATATTTTTTGTCGTTGATTGTGTATCTAGTATTTTTTTATTCGATGGGGCTAGCTAAAGTTAAACACTATTAAAATTAAAATATCAATAGGTTTTGACGAAAGCAGTTATCAATATATCTATTTAAAATTAAAACTTATAAAATTTTTGTTTAAATGAACAGAAGTGGTGGTTAGCATATAAATACAATCTTGATAAAATATTTTAATATTATGATAATTAATTTGTTTTTGTTTTCAGTATACTAAATACATGTATAAATATGGTATTATAATTACAAGGTGTCCTAAAGGAGCTGAATTCCATGAGGTATAGTAATAGAATTTGATCAGATTTTTTTAATGTATTTAACTACATGTGACCCACCTTAGCTCGTTCGGGTATAGATAGGTGGTACTTACTAGGAAGTATAGGTTAATGTTTTTAATTTTTACCAGTTTTTATTATTTTTAATCTATACTAATATTATAAAGAGATAAAGTTTGTGAGTTTGTGACGTTGTAGGGGGTAATCTCTGGATCTACTAAACTGATTTAAAAGAAGATAGTTTGAGACCCTGGGAAGGACATAGGATACTTTTTATCCCGGAAATCATCCGTTAAGGGTGTGAAAATGGGTATCAAAGTTTGTTTGGGGAATCAAGCTAGGGACGAACCCGAGCAAAGCGAGGGTGAGTTGCTAGTTAATCTATATTAATATTAAACACTTAATATTTATTTTATTTTAAGGTTATATCAGAAATCTGGCCATATTTCATTGCAAAGCACGTAGATCTGTTGGATACAGTGTTTATCGTATTGAGAAAAAAAGATAGACAAGTCACTTTCCTGCACGTTTTTCACCACGCTCTCATGATTACATGGGTATGGTACTGCTTAATGTACCATCTTACAGACCATTTTGTGGCAGTGGCATTTGCTAACAGTTTCGTCCATGTTTTAATGTATGCGTACTATGGAATATCGTCGTTAGGACCCAAGTACTCGAAATTTATATGGTGGAAGAAGCATTTGACAAAAGTTCAACTGGTAAGTTTCAATAAATAGGCAATTTAAACACTCTTTCGTATAAACATAATCAAATTTCTTCAATGGGTCTGGTGTTTCAAGTGGTCTGGAGACGAAATAGTCCATTGAATTTATTTTTTAGATATTAAGGAGGGGTTAGTGTAAAGTTAAATCTAAGTTTGTGTCCTGTCCTGTTTTGCATCCTCTGACAAATGCACGCTAAGCCCAAAAAAATGTAACATTTAAATGGACTAAAATTGTGGAATGGAAAATTGCTCGACTTAAAATAAATGCACTAAAGCAATGTTAGCTTAATAGTAACGCTGAATACGTGATTAAAAAATCAAATGAAGCGGGTTCAACTCCCGAGTATCGCACAGTCGAGATTTTCAAGTGTGATACATGTTCAACTTTATGGTGAAGAGTAGTATCGTGAGGAAACTTGTATCACACATGCACGCATTTGAAAAACATTAGAAATCCGCCGACCTGAACTTTAGCAGCGTTGTTAAATACGTCTTGATCCCATAGAGAGGTTCCTGCCCAGCAGTAGGACGTTAAAACAGGCTGAATAATATATAATAAACATAAAAAAAACTCATGGAATATTGCCTAAAAACACGTATGCCTGAATTCAATAACCCCTTCTTTTGAATTCAGACATCCCTAATTGAAAATATTTATGTAATACAAACAAACAAACTAACATACAAAAAAACATTTAAAACTATTATTTAAACTCCTATAATACCTATTTTTCTGTACGTATTTTTCATTGATATAGATAATAATTATAATGTTTTAATTTATTACAGATCCAATTTATCTTAGGGATAACCAACATATATTATCAACAAAAGATAACGATGTGCCCCATTCCGTCAGCATATTATTATTTTTGTCTATTTTCCGTCTGTTCTTTCTTCTTCCTATTCATACATTTCTATATAAAAAATTATAGCGCTATACAAAAGAAGAAAATGGATATCATTAACATTGGCTGTAATGTTGATATGCAAAAAATGAACTGAATTATGTATGTTAAATAACGAGTAAATTATTATAATATTATAATAAACAAAAATTGTACACTATAATATATGTAATTACAAAAAACTAATAATTTAATAAATATATTTATAAATAAAGAAGTGTATGTCTGTGTTTTTCAAATAACTAACAAATAATAAACTCGGTATACCAAATAAGTACAGAAGAATAAAATTCTCTTCCGTGGTATGTTAAATATATTGTAAAAAAATACATGTCGTTGGTATTGTTATTAATAAACGGAATAAACACTAATAAACGAAAGGACTGGTTTGTTTTTAATGTGACTTTAAGTGAGGAATAAGCGCTTTGGCCACAGTAGGTTACTTTGCTATTGTTACACATTAAAACTACCCGGGACTCGAATCCAGGAACATAAGCTTATCACTAGACTAAAAAATATTATAAAAAAAAATTACGAAGTCGTTTTTTTTGTAAAAAAATTTTTTAGCAATTCTCATTTCAAATTACATTTAAACATATAAGTTGTGTGAATTTTTGTAAGCCATTTTTAAAAACCTTTATTTTGATACTCAATAGATTTTAAGGAAAGAAAATTTTTGAAGACATAATATGGCGCCAAAATTCGGTAATTTTAATTTTCATATACCCACTCACTCTCACAATTAATATAAATCAAACGACACCTCTCAAGCTAAAATCCATCAAGCTGTTTAGGATACAGAGCGTACAAAAGACACTTGAAAAACATAACCCTCCTTCTGGCGCAGTCGGGTAATGAAGCATTCCATGTTAATAATACATAAACACTGTATACTAAATATGGCGTAAGACAATTAGTATTAAAGAAATATTGAACGATGTGCGTTACCTTTGATTTGCATTTACCCAAGTATACTTATTATAATGTTAACAAATAGCTAACAATAATAATTAACTGTTGATGGTGTATAATTTATTTATTACATTTTTTTTACTAGGCTGGCTTTGTGTTAGTGAAACTAACTAACAAGATGTTTCAGTACACGGCAAAATATTTTGATACTATTAAGTGGATTTAATGATAGAAGCAGGAAATTGATATTGGAACTCCTCAATGGCTACTAGAAAAACTTTAAATTTGAGCTTATTTGATTCATCTTGACTCCCGTATTTAAAATAAATAAATATGTTGTGGGATATCGTCAAATTTCTACACTTTTGTTGTCTTTTTATTCTCGTTTTTAATAGAAGTTCGAAACTCTGTGTGATTAGTACTTACTGTAATGTAGATTTATAAATAACTAGCGGAAGTCAAAAACAAACCTAACCCACGGTAACACCACCACGGTTCACGCCAGAACTGCTAAACGGATCTAGATGAAGTTTGGCACAGAGATAGATTATAGTCGGGAATAAAACAAAGACTACTTTTTATCCCGGAAAAATGTACGGTTTTCGTGGGACAGATTTGTTTTCGTGTTTCTAAAGGCAAACCCGAGCGAAGTTAAGTTGAACCACTAGTTATAAATAATTTTAAAAATCAAGTATTTCTAAGATTTTTTTATAGTCCCCGAGTTATATGAATTTAAAGTCCTTGAAAAAATGTTGTCAAAAAATATGAAAATTTTAAAGAAAAACGAGAAAAGAAAGAGTTGCCAAAATACTCTCAAAGAAAATTACTTTGCAGAATATACGTTAAATATTTTTTGAAGATTTGAAATATTTTCGCTTACCCGCTTAGTCACTTTAGCATTCGTAAAATTAATTTCGTTTTCCATAATATGTAAAAAAAATATTTAATATGAAACACGGACGTATTTTTCCGATCGATATAATTCCAATAGGTGTTGATACTGTGAAAACGTAAATATTCGTTTTTTTTTGTATTAACCTAACGTAAGTAAAAACAGCACAGTATTTACAAACATTAGCATTATTTAAAAACGATGGCAAAATTAACAAATACTTAGGTATATTCATTTAAAAAAAAAATCGGTTACTAAATGTTATTAATCTATACATAATATAATACAATATTCTAAGTTGAATCTGTACATTAAATAACTCTTATTGAAATAGTCATTATTATCGATACAGAGGCCGAATCTAGTTAGTTAGCCTTTGAATTTTTGTCTGTCTGTCTTTCTGTGAACGCATCACGAGAAAACTACGGGACAGATTTTTATGAAATTTGGTATGATGATGAGTCGCTAGTATAAAGTATATATAAAGTCTAAATAATTTGTTAATGTCGCAGGTAATGGCTATTTTATTTTATTCAAATAGCCATACCTATGTAATACATACACTACAATTCATACAATATATACTTTATATAATTAATTTTTGAATAATTTTGTAAGTACCTTGCAAAAATATTTCAGCGTGGATTTGTTCTAACCACTTTATATTTTTTTTAAGATATAAAATACGTATTTTCGCGCAGTAAAAAAGTATCCTATATGTTGATCCGGATAATTAGATATTACCATACGAAATGTCATCAATTTCCCGTGATCAGATTTCCTATGATGCGTTCACATAAAGACAGACAGGCAGACTGACAAAAATTCTAAAAACTATAGATTCGGCTTCTTTGTCTATAATAACTATTTCAATAAGATTTTGAAAAAAATATATTTAAGGTACAGATTTTGCTCAGTTTTATGTATATATTGTATAGATATATAGCTTTGGTGGTGTAGTGGCTAGCATGTACGGCTGCACACCCGGAGGTCCTGGGTTCGAGTCCCGGGTCGGGCCAAGCTTAGTTATTGAGTCTTTCTGTACAGTAAGTCTCAGTAATAGCCCGGAGTTGGGAAGTTGGCGGTGTTTCACCCCCGTGCCTCGGAGAGCACGTAAAGCCGTCGGTCCTGCGCCTTAACTCTCACCGGTCGTGTCGAGTGGTCGTCCCACCGGAGTATGAGAGTGATAGGAATAGAGAGTGCACTTGTGTCTGCGCGTACACTTGTGCACTATAATATCTCCTGCGCAGTTGGCTAGTCTCAATGAGATTGGCCGCCGTGGCCGGAATCGGCCAGGAGAACATCACATCACATAGATATATAAAAACATAGATCCAACTAACGACTCACCCTCGCTTCGCTCGGGTTCGTCCGTTTGTAGATACGTTTTAACGGTTAGTATGGAATAAATAAATTATATATTATATAGCGACCCTCGCTCCGCTCGGATCCGTCCCTAGGTACGTTTTAATTTTTTCGAGCGGAACCCTAATTTTTTTTTAAAGTTGCCTGTGTTAGTCTCTATAACATCAGCTATCTTCCAGTGTAAATCTCGTCAAAATCAGTCCAGCTATTTTAGAGATTTTCCGGAACAAACAGACAGGCAGACAAAAATAAAAAAAATGTTTTTATTATAAGTACCCTATATAACTTCATATGCATTTAGTGAAACGCTGTTACTTTGACATTACAAACAGACACTTCAATTTTATTTATCTGTATACTAGATAATAATAAATATCTAATATTATAAATGTGAAAGTGTTTGTTTGTTTTTTGTTTGTTCTTCTTTACCGTCGAAACAGAGTGATGGATTGGCGTGACTTTTTTGTGTGGAGATAGGTGGAGGGCCGGAGATTGACATACGCTATTCTTTCACGCGGGATATTATCTCATTCCCCCGACAAAATACGTTATAATACAACACAAAAAATCAAAAGATCAGAATTAATTGAAACTTGGTATTAATGCTCTTCTATACAATTAAATAAATGCGTATTTTAGCATTTTTCAAAATTCATCTCATACGATAGTAAAATAGAGGATGAAAGTGAGGTGGTGTAGGACAATACTTACCTTATTTGAGTTGTTTTTTTTTGTAGTTTTATCTCGAGCGAAGCTGCGGATTCTGCTAGTAATAAATAATTAATTAATAAATATGTTGCGACATTAACATTTAACACACAGCACAATATAGTTCCATGGTAAGCTACGAGGCCAGTGTTATGTATACCAGATAGTTGATCCACTACTCATATATAACTTTAAATACATACACATTATAAATATAAACATCCA